GCTTTGCTGGGCTGGGGGTACAGGGGACAGCAGTGAACTGACAGCAGTGAACACTGCAAGACCCACGGATGCACTGAAGAGTCAGCATGTGGCTCAGACCAGAGGCGTTAGGGCATTTTGATGGTAGAGGGGGGCATGTGGACTGGAGGGGTCTGGGCAGGCTGCCCAGGGAGGGTCAGAGGGAGGTTGGCAGGCCGGTTGCATAGTGGTTAAGAGCTCAGCCTTTGCAGTTTGTTTCTTCAGCTCTGTTCCTTACCAGCTCTGGGGCCCTAGCATGATACCTAATTGCTCTGAGGCTCATTGATAAAATTGGGATAATAATGCCTCTAAATACAGTGACTGGTACCATATTTGTGCTCTCATCATTGACTATCAAATGGAAAGGAAGGGGAAGAACTACGTATTAGGCATAAAGTCAGAATGAGCAAGGCAAGTACTCAGAACACATAGAGACCTGGCGTGAAGTCGTTGGCATTCCTGGACTTGCAAACAAGGAGGCCAGCAGCTACCTCCAAGAAAGCTGAGGGCCCAGAACAAGTTTCTGGATTTCCCATTTCCTATCCATAAAAGAAAATGATAGTACATATTTCAAAGTTGCATTTTAAATAAATGAAACACAGAAGCGTCTCAGGCATGGTGTCTGGCACAGTAGTAAGTTCTCAGCAAATGGCAGCCTTTGCAGTTATTACTTGGCCTCCCTGCAGAGGCGCCCCCAGCATCTCTGTGCAGTTGCGGGCGCCCGACTGGGAGTCAGAGGCAAGGGTGCAGGGAGGTGGTTCAGGGAGTAGGACCTCAATTGCTGGGGTTTCTGAAGGGGCACTAAGAGGAAGGAAGGAGAGGAGAGGGACTGGCTGCTTGCACCCCCATCCCCTTCCTTCCCTTGTCACCTTCTGAGCTGCCTCCACAGCCCCTCCCTAGCGGTTGGTCCCTCAGTGGCTTGCACTGCACACACCTGGACCTGATAATGAACTTCTTCTCCAGGTGTTTCTCATTTCCCTCATTTCCTGGCAGGGTTGGTGCCCAGTAGTGCCTCTCGGCTCTCAATAGACCTCAGGTGCCTGGCCCTGGGAAACTGAAGGGATGAAGGAGGATGGCAGGCCACCTTGTTGCATTTGGTCCCTGGTGCCTGGCATGTCGCACGTGGACAAGTCCTTTCTTGTGCCTGCTTTGATGGCATCTTGTTTCCTCCAACTGCAGGGGGCAAAAACCTCTGACTTCCCCCAGAGACAAGTCCTCATGGGGTGGGGGCTCTGGGTGGCAGATGGGCTCATGCTCTACCTTCTGGTGCCCACTTCCCACAAGCACCCCCAGGCCCCGCCTCTGCAGAGGTGCCAGTCTTAGGGTCAGAGTTTCCGCAAGCCCACAAATGCCACTTCCTCCCCTCTTCCCAGTGCTCACGAAAGCCCACAGCTGTGATGCACCCAGCTGACTCCGAAGCCGGGAAGTCAAGGCTCCTTCCATCTAGACACCCCCATCGCCCTCACCTCAGGAATAGAATCTGACAACGGAGGTCTGGAGTGGTGAACACGAGGTGAAGGTGTGACCTCGGGTGGGAGGGGAGCGGGGCCCCAGCACCGCACAGAGTACCACGTACGCAGCTAGTTGTCCATAACTCCCCACTCTCTGATAGGGGTGGAGGCTGGGGGCACGTGAGCCTTCCAAGGCTTTCTAAACCAACAGGCAGACTAACGGAGGGGAGAAGAACATGACGGCTTATTATTTCCAGACCCAACTGAGTAAGTAGCTCAGAGCTTTTGCTCTGTGCCTGACTCAGGATCTACCGTGGGTCAAGCCAGGGGCTTACCATCCCTGGTGGACCCTGGGCTGACACGCAGGAACAGACAGCGGGGTTAAGGGCTGTAAGACAGGCCAACGTGGGAGGCCTGGTAGGGGGAGCGGAAGGAAAGTACCAGGCGCCAGGGAGCAGTGGTTTACATGGAGGCACGACTCCCCTGTCCCTGGACGTGTGTATACGAGGGCAGGAGCTGTCGACAGGTGCCTGGGAAGGAAAGCGTCCAAGTGCTTTCCCACCAACACAGAGTCTAGGCTCTGAGCCTTGAAGGACATGCAGGCTTGGAAGGCAGGAGGCTCTAGAAGGAGGAATGCCAAACAGCTCCTGCAGGAGGAGAGGGGAAATGGCTACCTCCAGGACCGGGGCCTGTGGCGCAAAGTTCGTGTTCATACCCACGATCGTGTACAGGTGAGCTGTCAGCGCTGGAAAACGTCGGGCGCTTTGTTTTTTCTTTCAGCCCCACCTGGTATGTGTTGGCAGTATGGCCTGGGGGAAGCTGTGAGTGGCTGGCTCTGACCCAGCTTCGACTCGGTGCCTGCACTGGGCTAAACAACCAGTCTGGGATTTCCAGTATTACCTTAGCAGCCTTTCCCCTGGACCTTTCTATCGAGTCAACAACCAAAAGCTGCCACTGAGGCTCCCATTCAGGGAATCATAGCAGAGCGACTTGCAGGGGGTTGACTCCCTAGGCCCAAGGGTCTAGAAAACCCAGAAATGTCCCCTTCCAGAGTCTGGCTCTGGTCAGAAGGGGCTTCAGGGGAAGAGGCAGACAGGAGTTTCCTGGAGGAGGTGGGCTGACTCTGCCGAAGAGCTGGGTCCTCCATCGGTTAACTGCCAGGGCAGGCCAGGTCACATGCTCCCCACGCTCTCCTTTGCCTTGTGGCTGCCCTTCCTGAAGCTAGCACACTGGATGATGGCTGAATCACACCAAGCCAAGGGGAGGGCGTGGGGGCCCCGGAGTGGAGTAGGGGCCTGGCCATGACTGGCTTGAACGGTTTACATGGAGGTTTGTCAGAGGTAGGGATGTTGAGGAAGAGGGAAGATCAGTGTCCAGAATTCTGCTTAAAGACGCACAGGTTAAGAATGCCATGTGGCAGAGCGAGTGAGTACTGTATGTGGAATTTTGTGTTCCTTGGGGGTAGGGCTGTGACTCTCATTGCGATGGATCCATGCACACCAGAGCTGGAGCCTGGGTTGGAATCATGAAGGCAAGGAGACACCTGCCTCACATTACATGAAGTTTCTGGTTCTTTATTCCTATGCTGGCTTTCCCCGTAACCAACCTAACTCCGTGACTTCCTTTCTTGCCAACACCGCCCTGGGCTTCAGGCGTCACTCATTTCCCGGAGAGCAGACTTTGAGCAGCTGCTGCCGGTTTCTGTCACAGGAGCTAGCGCAGGAGCAGCTCCCCCGCCTCCTGGGACGAGAGCACATCTGCTTGTGGGCAGTGGCCCGGGTTCCACCTTGAGGGGAGCGCCTCCGTGTGGCCCTGGTGGCCGGCCACTCTGACTCAGCAGCCACAGAGGGACAGGCATAGGGCCCACAAAACGCAGAGCACTCAGCATCTCTGATCTCTTTGCAGCCCCACAACCACTTTACGGGGCAGAGAGTGAAGGTGACTTTCTCGTTTCAAGGGTAGAAAACAGGTTTGGGAGCCACGTCCAAGATCAGCCAGCCAGGTAGGTAGTGGCCACGCTGTGGGCCAGACGCCAGAACCAACTCCTGGTCCGGTGCTCGTTTCACGCAGCCAAGTGGCCTCCAATCAAGAACTTTCTCCTGGTTGGAGGTGGGGGAGAAAAGGGGATAAGACTCGGGATCATCTTTAGAGGAGCATAAGGGAAAAGGGGGGGTCAGGGGAGACCACTCTGTTGGCTTGGAGGGAAAAAAGGATGGGCAATGTTTTCAACAGCGGACCTCTCCAAATCCATGGGACCAAGCAGATCCATAGAGCTGCCCAGAGGGGGCGCTGCAGACACTGTTCGCTGCGAGGTGAAAACCGCAGTGGCCCCTGTCCCCGGCTGAACTCCATGCTTGGCTCTCAAAGCCAAGGTCAGTTCCTAGGCACATGAAGGCCTAAACACATCTGTTGATGTTTAAGCACTCCTCAGTTGCCAGGGCCAGGGGCACAGCCCCACCTCAGCTGGAGGAGGGCTTGTCAGCATCCTTCTCAGCCACCAGCCCCCTGGACAGGAGCAGGCAGCTGTCCCTAGCTCCTGCTATCATGGCCTGATCCACAGAGAGTGGCTGTGTCTCTGTTCTCCCCTGGGGTCCTTGGGGAATTCCTCTCCAGAGAGAAGGAAGTATGGAGTTTGGGGTAGGAGGCCTGAGGGGGCAGACATGGTTCTGCTGCTTCCACTTGCTTTATGCACAAAGTTCTTCACCGGCTTCAACTTTTTTTTTTTTTAAGCTTTTAAGTAATCCCTACACCCAATGTGGAGCTTGAATTTACAACCTTGGGATCAAGAATTGCACGCTCCACTGACTGAGCCAACCAGGCGCCCCTGGTCTCCAACTCTTGACTAGGTAGGAGCAGAATGGACATACTCCCCAGGCTGGGTGGGCAAGGGGGCCAGGCTGCAAGGATGCCCACTGTGGAGAGGCCAGCAGGCCCACCCCCTCCCCTCTATTCAGTGTCACTTGATCCATTCTGCTGATTAAGGCCTCCTCCAGGGTCAACCCATCGATGCCCCTCTCCTTACCACAGTCCTGACTTGAATCATCGGGTTCCTAGTTTTTCATCCCTGATCACGTAGCTGGCTTTTCAGGTTTTCAGTCCATGTCTTCTTTTTATTGCCCTTAAGACCCCTCCCATCCTACTAGAGGTGCGTTTCCTCCATTGGCCCGCCCCCTCCCCCCCCCACTGTGCTGCAGGGAAACTTCCCATGCTCACCCAGAGATGAAAAAGCAGGAGATGCTGGGGGCGGGGGGGTCCTTAGTTTGGGCAGAAAGACAATTTTTCTGTTTGCTCTTTTCTTTCAAGATACATAGTAAGATCAAGGGAGAGGCAGGGATACTCCCCTAGCTGGGTTTTTTTCAATCCAAACAAAGTTGTGGGGGGCACGTAGGACGAGTGGAAGGAGCCACGAGTAACCAGCAGCAACACAGCTCACCCTCCCCGGTGGATACTAGCCCTGCCGGAGGCCAGGCTGGGTGGGCAGGGGGTCCTGGCACCTGAAGGGGGGAAGAAATGATCCTCTTCCACACAGAAGAAAAAAAAATGACGGACTTTATTTTGGTTGTCGGCCATAGGAGTGCAAACAGCTGGAGGGTAAATGTGCACTCGGCTACACCAAACCGAAGAAAAGTTACTATTTGTTTCCCTCGTCCCTTCCCATTAAAGACTCTAAACTTCAGGAACAGGGTGGGCAGGGCTCTTCACAAACACAGGCATGAACTTAGTGTACATGTCCACATCAACCCCTGCAGTCAACACAGCGGGCATCCCCGCTCTCCACGCTCCTCAGGCACAGCGTTGCAGAAGACTTGTCTTTTCTTGATGCTTCTTCCAAATATCTTCCCATAGGAAAACTTGGCAGGGTCCTGGGGCTGCTCTCTGCATCTTCCAGGAACAGGGGCCAAGGCCATGGTGGGGTGATTCACTCAGAAGAGACTCTCACTCTGGGGTCACCACCCCTCAGGAGGTAAAGCTCTACCAACTCTGATCCCCTGGGCTGTAGATGAGGCAGCAGGGAAAAGAAGAGGGTGCCCCCCCAAGTTGAGTGCTGGTTTGTTCCCAAACTGGTATAAGGCACCAAGTGCTGACCCAAGGCCAGCATCTTCCAGCCTCAGGCACGACCCTCCCCACCTGACCCTCCTGCCTCCCCACCCAGATTTTTACAGGTGACTTTAACAACAATGTGATGAAGACTTACAACATTAATTACTAGGGCCAGAAACAGGATTCTGTCCCAATATGAAGGCTGGTACCAAGTAAGTCTGGCCCTGGTTACATTTTAAAAATGGTACTTAATTCTTTAAAAACATTTTTAAAAAGCGTTAAATAAAATGCAGCTGGGGAAAGGGGGCTGTTGGCTGTCAGGTGCTTCTTGTGTTTTTCTCCACAGGAAAGACCTGGCATTCAAGCTCTTGGGGAGACAACTTGAAGGCCACAGTGCCAAACCTTGGGTATTCATCTGGGCCTTTCTACCAAGAAACACTCATTTTTTCCCGTTGCTTGCTGTGCCAGTTGCCTCTGGTGTATGTGAGTGAACCCTTGTTTTGGCTCTTGATCAGCATCTTAACACTAACATACCCTAGCCTTCACTTGGATGAATCCCTTATCCTTGATCATGACTCTGGAGGACCAGGGACCCACGGCATGTCCCCTGGAGCCACCACAGGGAGAGCAGGTTTGGCAGAGCTGCCTTAAGATGAAGGTGGAGGTGGCCGGTGGCTGTGGGCTGTAGAAGGGAGCAGGAGGGAAAAGGCTGGGGCGTCCCCTTGAGCTGAGAGTGCTGGTTTGTTCCCAGTAAGGCACTGAGTGCTGACTCGAGCTCAGCATGGTCCCACCTCAGGCACACACCCAGCAGCGGCCCATCTGAAGGTTCTGCGAACACTGCCTGTCTACAGCAACCTGGATTAAGTTGAGAGGAAACAGAAGATTCAGCCCAGCATTTTAAGTAATTAAAAATAAATGCACAACTCCATTGGCTCACCAGATAGATAGGAGATGAACTTGGGTAGTAAGGAGTCAGCCCCTAGAGGTGCTGGGACCGCCTTCAGTCCTCCTCTGGTTTCTTCAAGGGCAACATTAGTTACCGTCATGAAAGATGTCTGTCCATCTACAAAGGCCCCGATTCAAGAATCTCAAACCCTTCAATGTTTTGCCCTCCCATGGATCCTGTGGGTTGGTTAACAGGGAGGGAGGCACCGACCAGTTACATGCTAAGCCTCAGCTTCCTCTGAAGTCAGGGAAGAGGCAGGAGCGAGTCTCATGTCTGAATGCTAACTCCCTTTCCTTACCGCTCTCTCACTTGTGGCCACGGACACCAGCAACCTCCTTCTCATTTCACAGGTTGTGTGAGGCAGCCCCACACCTGCAATGGGCACTCCAAACGACCCTTCCCCTGGATCTGGAGGACTGCTCCATCTGCCTACTTTGGAGACTGTTCCATACAATTGTGGTCTTCCACGCACCAGGCTGTTTGTTGTTACAAGATCCTCAACTTGGATCCTGCCTTAGCCGGGAGCCTGGACCACCACCACAGCTGGTCCCTCCTGGGTCCAAAGGCTTAAATTCAGCCTACTTTACAGCTAGATGTCCACTCTGGAGAAAGGTCATGCTGACCATGAAAAGGAAGATGCTTATGTGTATGCGCACACGCGCGTGAGTGTGCATCATGGACGCTGTCGCCTCTTCCATATTTGTCTTGGTATCAGCTGGCTTCTCAGGCAGAGGCAGCCAGCATACATGGCCTACCCACAGAAGCCAGGACTCTGGCTTCCCTGTTTAAGCCCCACCTGCAGGAAGACCTCAGGGCAGGGGACACAAGGAGTCGGGCTGTCACAAAATGCTACGTGGTCAAGTTCAGCAGTGACAGGTGGTTCATCTGGGAGTGTCCGTGAAAGGCCTTTGTGACCCTGGGCACCTGGCCTAACAGGCTCCTTGGTTTAGCGTACGCGGTGCAGCTCTGGCCCCTGGGCTGATGTCTCAGTGGGGCATAACCCACCTAAGAGGATGGCTTCTTACCCTCTTCACTGAGCGTTGCTGGGAGGGGATCTTCCGAGCTGGTAACACAAGAGGAGGGAGAATCTCCGTAAGTGGGCCAGTCTGGCCAGCTCATAAAATAAAATGGCACATTCTCTCCGTTTGCCATTTTTCACTCTGATTCCAGGAAGACTCAGGGTTCAGGAGGGATTTCAGAGCCATAAGACATGGTAGCTGCTTGGAAGGAATGAGGGTGTGTGCTTCTGAGGTGGCACTTACGTGGGGGCTTGGGCAGTCTTCCTTTCTGGTTACCTGCCTAAAAACAGCAATCATCATTTCTGGCTACCTGGGGCTGCTGGAACTGCGGTCAAATCCTGCCTGCTTCCGGCTCTAATCGAAGCCAGCCCCTCTGAGGAACAAAAGGTGACTGAGATCGGCACAGGTGGTGACTACCGAACTCCAGTCTTCCCCAACAGGCACGCACCATGGCCACAGAAAGTTCACTTGAGCTAGTTATATTTTTTCTGCCTGAGATGTCCACGTCTGTGTCAGAGAGGCCCCTTTCTTCTTTCTGGGATAGCGGGCAACAAGGCTGAAAGGCTCTGGGAACCAGCTTCCATGGCAGTGACTTCTAGGCTGGCCAACACTCCCCTCCACCCATCTAGTGCCATTTTTTCTCTCCCTGCAGCCATTACTGGGCCGGAGGGAGACATGTGCCTTTGGGGTTAGCTCTGTGGGTGATGACAAAGTCATCACACCAAGGGAGGGGAAAAGAGCTGGAATGTGTCTCCATTTGGAGACAAACCCAAGAGGCTTCCTGTAGCAGAGAGAAGAGTTGGCCAGGATTGTTCCCTTCAATCTCTTGGGGATGATTCCAGTCCAAAGAAGGGTGATATCTCTCCAAGACCCTATGCTGAATGTACTTGTGGACACTGACACATCTGAACGATTTAGGCCTGGAGGCTGCAGACCCCACACCACTGGGCTCCCTGGGCAGCTGTGTCAAAGGACAGAGGCCAGGCTGGCACGGACGCAGGGCTGGCAAGGAAGGCTGCCAGGAGCATGGGACCACTCCAACTTGAAGAATCTCACTTCACAGAACGTGCTTCCTCTCTTCAAGACGGTACTGAGGCCTGGTTTTGAAGAACAGCGTCTATCATACTAAGTTGTTTCAGGCATTTTCTCAAATGACAGCAGTTGATGGCTGAGCCTGGGTAAGATGAAGTTGTGTTCTTTAAACAAGCTTGGACACACACCCACACATGCGCCAGGCATCTAAATGACTTGCATGGACACCACATACCTGAAAAGGGCAGGTGCTGGAACGTGGAAATGCATCCTGGCTCGCTGCCAAGTTTGGTAAAATGACTTAAGAAATACACTCTGTATTTCTGTGAAAAACTTTTATTGCGCATAAAGTGGCCCATTCCCCTTTGCAGCTCAGTTATTACCACCTTACAACTGTTTTTCTTTGAATTCTACCTCCTGCCCCACTGAAAACTTTCTTCTCTTTTCAGAGGATAAAGAATAGTCTATCATTGCTGGTCAAAAGCAACTGGAGGATGGTTTCTGGGGGCAAAGGCCCAAAGATATCACCCGAGCAGGGTGAGAACTCCACAAGAAGTCCCTCAGACTCAGGAGTGGAGGTGTCTGCTGCCTCCCTCTGGTGATGCGGAACTGGTTGCCCACTCTGTGGGCCTTGTGTTTGGGCTCACTCAAGCTCTGGCATTTCATTTCCTGTGTCCCTGCCTTCAAGGGGACTTAAATCTCGGGAAGAACAGTTGCCTGGAGCTGCATGCATTTCCAGAGTTGGAAAACATTTCATGCAGCCTGTCACCAGGGTACTAACATAAACCGCAAACTAGTGGTTATAAAACGGGAGCTTTAAAAGAAAGGGGCACTACTAGAGCCGCAAGTCCTAACAGCGTTGGGAGTGGAGAACCAGGGCACGTGTTGGAGGCTTGTGGATTTTGGAACCTTCTCTGCAAAGTCTTCAGTCCCCTTTCTAGCAACCGCAGCCCGCAGTGTGTGCTTCGGAAGGACGCAGGGGTGCTAAAGGCTGACCGGGCCGGCCGGCCGCGAGGGCACAGGTCCCGTGTGGCGCCCGCGCTACATGAGGCTACTCACAGCGTGTCGCTACGGTCACGTCCTGAGCCCACCACTTGGCACAGCGCTGCCTTGCTCCAGGGTTTGCAGGAGCCAGGAGGGATGGAGGCGGCTCTCCTGGGGCTGGGCTGGCTACGGCGGCATTCGAGGGACGAAGAGGGTCAGGGACAAGGCCACACAGGCGATGAGGGGCCTGTCTCAAGTCCAATTTTACTGGAAGGGTGAGGTTTAAAGAGGGAATCTAGAACACCCTCCTCTCGCCTTTTTAAGAAAGCGCATAAACACGGACACTCCGCCTCATCAGAGAACAGGAAGTGAAGGAGTCGGAGCTGCGACGGTTGTCAGCAGCGCACCTCCTGTGCTTCCACAGGAGACAGATGGCAGCTCATGGACAAAGTGAAGAGCAAGACACATTCCCTGTTCCTTTGTACTAGGAATGAAGGTTCAAGCTGAGGCATGGCGGGGCTCCCCGAAGAAGTCCCAAGGTCGGCACGGACACCTGAGCTAGGCTACTCTGAGGAACTGCCAGGCCTCTGCTCGCCCTACCCTGGCCCCTCTCCACCAGGAGTCTGCCAGAGGGCCCTTCCGCATTGGCCTTGCTCGGACAGGAATCCTCCCTGCGCTGACCGTGTGTCAGTTCTGTGGATTCCCCACCACATTTTCTCCGACTGTGGCTCTATGAGCTGTACAATGCCAGTCTCTAGTTGAACTGTGAGAAATGAGCAGTTTGGCTCAAGGAGCCAGTTACATGGTGCTCATTATCCCATGCCTTCCCATGAAGATCGAGGTGCAGAGGAGGTTCAGGGTAGAGTTAACTGTGAGAGACCAACCTAAATTCCAACACTTGCATCTCTATCGGGTTGGATCTGAGGCTGGGCTGAGAGAATTCTCATCAGCCAGAGGGATTACAAGGTCCCAGACTACAATGCCAGCCTGGAAAAGGGCTTACCTTTAATAATAAATGTGCTATGGGGAGGTGAAACCCTGGCACCAAAATGGAGAAAATAAATGGGTTCTGCAGAGCCAGGGTTCAACAGGGAGAGGCGAGTGGCATCTGTGCCCTTTGGCCTGGCCTCAAACAGTGCTGAAATGTACCCCTGACAAATGAATGGTGCAGACACAAAGTTTGGTACCACAGTGAGGGTGGGCCGGGTCAAGGAGGAGGGGCCAGACGCCAAATACAGGAGGGGACAGGAGAGCTAGGACCAAGAACCCACGTGGGGTTCTCAGCTGCTCCCTGATGCCAACTGGGTCAGCAACACTCTGAAGAAAGCTAATAAATAGATGGCTGGAACAGCGTTCAGTCAGTTCGGGATAGGACCGTGTAGGAGGACACGGCAGATACCCCTGTCACTCCTACATCGGGTGCCAAGTGATCAGTGTCTCTAGTAAAGATATAAAAATGAAGTTACTTCTCTTCAAGTATTAAAAAAATAAGTTAACTGACAAAAAGGGTCCGAAGCGGCTGAGCGTCTTGCTAGGCTGACAGCTTCATCTCAATGTGCAAACACAGGAAAAAGGTCAGGGAAAAAGATAATCTCCCACCCCGACGTGAAGCGCTGAACAGTAACAACGCCTGTCTGTCAACTGGGGGCTAGAAATGTAGGGCCTCATCCTGTCCCCCAAAGTCAGTATTTCCAGTGTCAAAATTGTTGTGAATTCAAAGCAGAATGCAGCAATCCTCAGGCCTCGGGTCACAGCCAGAGGGAGGCCTGGGGCATTTGGCCACAAGGGGTCCAGTGTGCGGTGCAGGGAGCCAGGGAGCAGACCCCTCCTGGGTCCTCCTTACTTGCATCATGAATTCGGGAGCCAGCCCATCTCCAGCTTCCCCTGCGATACTGGGGCAGGCGCTGACCTGCTGGCCACTGCCCCCCTCCTAGGGCTTGAATCACATCTTGCCCCCGCCGGGGTGTCTTCTTCGTTTCTTTGGTGGTGCTTCAGGAAGCATGAAGAAGATTGCTGTCCCTTCCGCTCCGTGAAGGTGCACTCTGGTGGTTGTGGTTTTGACGGAGAGGGGGCAGCTTCCTTCTCTTGTCTCCTCTTGTGGAAGGAGGAGCTTCAGCCACCACGTGTCCTTGGGGAGCAAGCGGGTTTTCTTTTTTCCCATATCACATGTCAAATGCTCCGTATTCCTCTCTCTGGAGCAGGAAGTCAGGGTGGGCCTCTTCCAAGGAGGCTGAGCCACCTCAGATAATCATCTTCACCCGGGGTTCCCCAGAGCACAGACATTCGACCCACTTTTCAAGAGGCACATAGACATTTGCGTGTCAACTCCCAGGAGGTGCCGGGCCTTCTGAGATCTTTCATCTGGGTGGTTTGGGAGAACCCAGCCTGGGTCAGGTGGATGCCACAGACCAGCCAGCCGGAGCACAGGTAGAGCTCAGGACCAGTTCAGGCTGAAGCCCTTGGATAGCATGACAGCCTCCAGGTCCTTGTCTTCTTCTTTTTCCCGGAGTCGCTGTTCCTCAAGCAGGGCCACGAGGGCGTCTCTCTGCTCCACCACCTCCAGCATCTCGTTCAAGATCTTCTTCTCCTCTGACAACTCCTCCTCAGTTTTCAGGTGATCTGGGCAGTGGCCAAAGACATTAGGTCTATAGGGCCAGGAGGCAGCAGGCCCACACCCAGCTTTCCCGGGTGCCCTCCAGCCCTGTTCCCCCCTTACCTTCCACCGCCATCCGCTCCCGAAGTTCCTGCTGTAGTCGGCTCTGCCGGTCTTCCAGTTCCAGCTCCCGGGCACTGGGATTGGGGGCGGGGGGAGGAGAGAGGGAGACAAGCATGGTGACTCGGGGGGCCATATTTCCTCATCTCCTAAATTAGGAAGCAGCTGTGCTCCTGCTGTGATAGGTGCTGACTGACGGCCCCCCTTTGCTGGGTCCCCATCCAAAGGCCACTCACAAAATCATCAGCTCCGACTCGTAGCGCACCATGGCATTTTTCTCTTGCACCAACTTGAACCACTCCTGCATCAGCTTGGGGTCATCTTTCTTCCCCATGCCTGCCAAGAGAGAGGGTGTGTCAGGCACAGCAAAGTGTCTGCTGTCCACCCCGGCCGGCAGGAGTCTCACACAGGGGCAAATGTGCAAAGAGAGCCGAGCAGGATGCTGCCGGAACACTCCCAAGCCAGGTCCAAAGTTTGCCTACAGCCATGGAAGGGGGCACCATGCCCCAGAGCCTAACAGAGTCTGCGCTCTCCACCTGTCCTTCCCAGGCCCAACCTGCACCCCCTCGGTAACCTGGTCACAGCCTGTTTGGACCCCTCCTGCTCAATGGATTGCTCTTGGTAGGTCTGAAGTGCTTTGCCCTCCTTTTTCCCTTTTTTTCACTCATTTCATATCTATTTGGTACTTGCTAGGTACTAGGTCTGCTTTTAGAAAACCAGTCTCGTGAACCAGGCAAATGCAAATTTATAAGCTGCACTTACCCCCTTTGAAGTTACCCTCACTGGCCCATCTCTTTCCTGGGCTGCTGCCCCCGTCTGGGCCACTGTATTGATGCGTCCCCATCTCTTCAGCTCCTGGTCAGGGAGATGGCTGTTCTCAAACTGTGGCCTTATCAGGCTTCCTGACAAACACTCTCCCAACGAATCCTGCCTGGTACACGCAGTACCTCCCAGGACGGCTGTCAGGCTCCTCACCAAGGGCAGAGAGAACACCAGCAGACCCTAGGCAGTGCCCTCTGCTCTGACCTAACCCCAGCAGCAGTTTCTGGGGCTGATAACTAAATCTCTCTCCGGGAAAGCTTGACCCTGCTGGGCTTAACTGTGGCAGGAGAACAGAAGGAAGAACTTTCCAAGCAATCAGACCAACCAAGGAGAGAACAAACTCTTTTCCCTTGGAGCACAAAGAAGCTCATGGCAATAGTAAGGTCCTGCCTAAAGCAAAAGACAGATTCTGTCAGTGGTCTTCAATATTTCTGGATTCCAAACCGTTCTGAGAATCTCAGGAAATCTAGGGACTCTCTTCCTAGAAAAATACATGTCTACACATCCAACAATTTTATATAGAACTTCAGGGTGTTCCTGGGCCCCCTGAAGTTCACCCGTGGGCCCCAGGTTAAGAGGCATTGGACTGGGAGATCTTTCAAAGTGCCTTCCATTTTATGACTCACTTGGCTGGATGTCCTATCCCGGTAAAGACCAGACCCAGAAACATACGGAATATACCCTCAGGTGAGACAATGCGCTCCTCTGTCAAGCTCCTTACTCACTGTTTCCTACATTCTTCCCACCTGACTTCCTTGCACACTGTTCAAAGACAACTCTCTGCTGCGTTGTTTGCTTGACACGCAGGAGGCCCAAGCCAGTTAGTCTTTCAACGGGGGCCACGCTCTGGAGAGGCAGAAACGAATAGCACTCACACAAGCGGGGGTTAGCGTATGCATGGTGCCTGGGTGCACGTGCAGCTGTGCTCCCAAGGTGGAGGCCTATCCCTGAGTCCTACTCTGCAAGACAGAAACTCCCTCCTGACCAGCCGAGCCTGCCTCTGTGGAGGGCTGGAGTGTCTGGGGATGAAAGCTCTCCTTACCCGACCCAATAGACTTGGTCCTTTGGCTTTTAGGGCAGCCCACAGCTCAGTTCCATGCATTCCTTTCTGAGCATCTCTGCACAGTGTGCCCACATGGCATGGAAGATGGAGCCCTGAGGCATGCAAGCTGTCCAGTGCAGCAAGCTGGGAATGCACTGGGAAGTCTCTCCCTCCTTCCCGCCTCTCCATGACCAAGGACAAAAATTCTACTGGGATATATCTGAACACCGCTCATGAGCTATGGTAGAGACTGTTCACAGCCGATGAGCAAAGGTATATGGCGGGGTGGGTGAAAGTCAAATGTGAGCACCATGAAGAGCAGAGGTAAGAGGTTAGCAAGGGTTAGTCATGACCACACTCCCCTTTCCCCTTCCCACATGCCTTTTCAACAACAATCTTATCACCACAACAGACTTCAAATCAGACAAACTTAAAAAAAAAAAAAAATACACACACTCAGCAAGACACAGGGTAGAGAAGTTTGCATTTAGTGGCTTTTGTTTTGTTTTTTTGGAAAAGAACTTGGGGGCATTGTGTAGACCAGTCTTTGTAAGGACAGTATTCCTCGACTCCACCAATATAAATCTCTGCCACACAGGTAGGAGGTTCCTCACCCGTGTGTCCCCTCTATCTGCTCGATTTGAGTCTGGAAAGTCCCACCATGAATGGTGGCACAATATCATGGGATGCTCAGCTGTAGCCTGAAAGGCCTGTACCTGGAGGCTCTCTGGTTTCCCTCTGTACCCCAGTCCTCCCCAAGATAGTCAAAGGGATACTGTACCTTGTAAGAAACTGCCACATACTCATGGAATTTTGTAACAAGGCTATTGAGTGTCAGAGAAAAAGAGAAATAGCTGGGTTTTGGGTCCCTGTTTGACTAGTGTTGCTACGACCCCTGAGAGGCAGTGGGGATGAGGTTGGGGGAGTTACGTTACCTTCCTGGACACAGCAAGGGCAGAAGGAGAGAGGTCTACGCCGTGGAGTCCCGCCACTGGGCTCAACTTCAAAAAGGACCAAACAAGGAAAAGGAGGAGGAGGAGACGAAGAAAGACAAAAAGGAAGAGGAGGAAAAGGAGGAGGAAGAGGAGTTTGGAATTGGAGAGGGACAGGGAGAAGGTGAAATAAAAAACAAGCAGAGGACAAAAAGCATAAGAAGTGAGAAAGGAACAACAGGAGGAAAAGAAAAAAAATACAAGAAATGGAAAAGCAGAAACAAGGGAAACAAAGTCTACAAATGAATTAAGTCCTTTTTTCAGCATGGAAACTGAACAAGAGCAGACCCAGGCATTGGGCGTGCGGCTTAAAAAAGGAATGCACATGTTCCCTGGCGATGGCGGGCAGCTCTGGGGGTGAGTGGGCTGTTCCTTCTTCCTCTGTTCCTTACTGCAAAGGTGGTGACATTTGGATATCATCGTATCGTGGCCTTTGGGTGTTGGGTTTTCTCCTCAAAAATGCCCAAAGCCCCTGGGATTGGTCTGCCTACCTCTGTGGAACAGTCCATGATTAAATATGTGCCCAATACTGCTCCTAAGTTTGCAGGTGATAACCTCAGGTCACCAACCAAATCCATGTGAAATATTCTAAGATGTCACCATAGATGCATGCGCTCCACGTACAACTAGCCCTGGATAAGCCTAAGGGGGGCGGAGGGGTCTGCAACCACTAGATTACCACATGCCCACAGAAAGCAGCTCTGAGTCTACGGAGGCAGCGCCTCATCTAGGGATGGGCTTCCAGGGTACTCTACAGTGCTTTGAATTCTGAGCCAGGACAAATTGAGGGAAACATAACCATACAGAGGCGACTTCCCCCAGTCCATGTCATATCCCCCCCATGTACCAGGGAGAGCCAACCACCCCCTTTTCTTCTGCCTGTCCACCTCTGGAGAGGGCTCCAGTGGCACAGCTGGGGGAGGGCTGTCCCACTTTGGACTGGAAGACCAAAAGGGGTGAGCTGACAAGGACATATCGAAAACTCACAGTAACAATGCTGCTAAGAGTCATGGACGGGGCAACCGAGAGAAGACAGGGTGCAGAGAGACATGTCTAGGACTTAGGGACGGTTACTCAAGGAGAGGGAGAGGAGCCCAGCAAGGGACCATCACAGAACCACGGGGGCACACACAGGAGACACAGGCTCAGAGAAATGGCCTCAGGACGGTAGGGAGCAGGGGCAGTTTTAGGAGTGGAACAGGGTTTAAGAAATAGCTCTGTTTTAGTAACAGGAAGGCCCAATAGACAAGCTACTGGTCGAGGGGCCCTTCTGCTTTGCAAACGCAGGTACCACATCTTCCCCTTCTTTTAACCCTTCAGTGTTCATCATAGTGCTTTGTGCACAGTGAATCTGGTATCGGGTAAAACTTCCAAACTAAAGCCAGAGACTTCTTTGTGGGTGTGCATGTGTGTGTGTGTAATGTTGATTACATCCAGGGTTCTAAACAGATGTGACTGTGACTAGCTGATGTGGGGGGAAGGGAGAAGGGCTCCTTTCTCTGCTTAGAGCTGATCCACATTCAACCTTCCTTGTTTCAAAGTGCAGACTCTATGTTGGTGATCAGAACACCTGGATAAATAACACGATGTCAATGAACAATCTCTGCTGCTTCCTGGTACTGACATTACGCAAACAGACTGGTGCGGAGTGGAACGGTGTCCATAGTCATTAGCAAGGGATAGTGACATGATACACAACCAATACAGCTGAGCCCATGTACTTGCACGTATGTTTAAAAATGTGTTTCTACTTTCTGGATATCACAAAATGTAACTTTTAGTTCCTTTTATGTAGACCACATCCTTATACACCCTTTCCAATACAGAAGACAATATGAGATAACAGGATATTCAGAACAGAAATTAGAAAATGAAATCAGTAAAGGGGATATCAGGGAAAGCAAGTGTTAGAAAAAGTGTAAAAAAAAAAAGAAAAAGAGAAGGCATTGTCATAGTAATAGACAGAAGGCAGAATGGGAATGGGCCACGCCTCTGGGAGGAGCTGGGCTGAGCAGACAGGATGCATGGTTATGACTCTCTTCTCCAGACTTTCCTTCGTGCTCCAAAATCTAAGTAGTAATGTATACTACTTTTATAATCAGAAAAAACAGCCAATAAATAGTTTTAAAAATAAGAAATCAAGGGGAAAAAAATCAGTTAAATGAGGGGAGTTCCACCCGGACTTGAATCTGAAATGAGCACGCAAGGGAAGCACAGAGGTGCTGATTTCGAGTGTAATTTCTTTGCCTTTTTTGGAGATGTGAGAAATAGATGATTTGGTCACTAGTTCTAAGAGCAAAGATGTCATCAAGTTTATGGCAAATATAAGCCTTTACAACTTTTATTATGCTTACTTTAAAATGCTGGGTGATAGGTTTCTGTGTCTTTGCAAGGGGCACCCCAGTGATCACTTATCCAACTATCCCTGTGTCCCCTGGACTTCAGTCAGCACGTCTAAGCAAACCCAGAGTTTGGTGCTGGTCGGAGGCTTCTCACCAGCAGGTCTACACTCTCATCCCAGACTGCTCTCTCTGCCTTCGAGAAGCTGCAAGCTCACCTGCCCCACCTTCTACCCTGGCAGCAAACTGAGCGTCTTCCTCTGCCGAAGCGCTTCCTTTTGCAAAGTGACTGCTGTCGGCTGTTCTCTAGCCCACTCATCTTGACATGGGGCAGCTGAGATAGGCCACTGAACTTTGAAAAGCAGTACATCAGATTCAGTGTGCTGCATGTAATAAGCATGAGTTGTGCTTTCATTTCAAAACATTCTCACAGATGTTATTTCATCTGAGCCTTACCCTGCTCCCCGGTGGCTACCTGGCCAGGCATACCAGCTCTATTTTCAAATGAGGGTTCTGAGGCTCCAAGCAGTTAAATGTGGCACAGCCTGACTAAAGCCCACATCTTCCTCCGCCATTCTGAACTAAGAGTTTGTCGGCCCTCTTGAAAGGGCCCACAAAGGCTTGAGGTAAATCTAACAAATGGTAGCTCCTGGAAGCAGC